CTAGTCATCACCACCCACTGCCAACTCTTGGGCTACTCTTTTACCAACGAATAGTGGGATTGACCGTCACATTATAACGTTCCCACGGCAGAAAGGGCGAGCATGTTTGGTGAGACTTGGATTCGAACCCACGACCCTCAGATCGCGAGTCAAGTGTCCTAACCACATGGCCATGCCGGCCAGATTATTGAGACCCCAGACGTAAGAGTTCTGTGAAATAATTAAAGAGATTAGGTTCGTCTTTTTTTCTATACATTTGTCTGAAAAGGTCACTTAGATGAAAATTCGTTAGAATAATGAAATTTTGCTTCACTCCAAGTAAAATAAGGTTTAGTTTTACTAAGCCAATACTGTGAAATAGTCATTGTTAACATTCAGACATTTTAAAGGTGGTTTTAAACGGGCGATTTTTATGGTCGCCATTTTGTTTCATCACGATTCCTACTATTAAGTACAACTGTACTTAATAATAAACTATTACATAAATTATTAAGAAACACCAAAAATGTTATACTGAACATAACATTAAGTTTTACCAGTTCAATATGATCAATAGTTCATATCAATGAAGTCGACTTGTAACTACAGAACAAGAACATAATTTTATGTCTACTAGCCATCCTGTAATACAACAACAAGAACAGAATTTCATTTTTACAAGCCATCCTACAATACCACAACAAGAACAGGATGTTATGTCTACAAGCCAATGTGCAATACAATACAACAACAAGAACAGAATTTTATGTCTACAAGCCATCCTGCAATACAACAACAAGAACAGAATTTCATGTTTACAAGCCATCCTACAATACCACAACAAGAACAGGATGTTATGTCTACAAGCCAACGTGCAATACAACAACAAGAACAGAATTTCATGCTTACAAGCCATCCTGTAATACAACAAGAACAGAATGAAAATCTTTAACAGTAGTTTTGCGAGTCCTAAGATGTGCCCTTTCTCTACCAGTTATAACTGAAAAATACAATCTTCGTTGTTTTTTGTTTTTTTGCCATTTTGAGCCATTAAGAAATACTTACATTGGAATCAAGCGTGGAAATGTACAGTTTGAAATGTTTTGGGGGCATACCAGTCAAGTCAAATCATTCACACTGTAATTAAGCCTGAAAATGTGCAGTTGAAAATGTTTTTAGGGCATACCTGTCAAGTCGAATAATTTATACTGGAATCAAGCCTGGAATTGTAAAGTTTGAAAATGTTTTAATGTATGCATAACTTGTCAAGACGAAATCAACTATCGCGATTCTTCTACCATCTCTAGTCTCCTTAACAGTGTTGTAAAAATATACTTCAATCAATTCTCAGATCCGATAGTTTCCTGTTTTAGTGTTGGCCTAAACTGACTACTCTGGAAGTAAGCACAGGGTGCCCCCAAAGTCGGGCGTGAGTGTAATATTAATGAAATTAATATCTTTTTTCTTATTTCTTTACTGATTTTAAGTTATTGACACTTAGTATTGATGAACCTGCAGTGGGTATATAGGTCTTCAGTACTGAGGGTGGACATTTTAAAGATATTCTGTAAACGTGCAGAAATGAATAAAAACCCTATAACCCGAGCGCTTTCGAAAGGTGGACCTTTCTTCTTCAGTTTTCCCCTGAAGATAAAAGGTCCACCTTTCGAAAGCACTCGGGTTATGAGTTTTTATTCATTTCTATCAAGACTTTTTGAACCTATGTGTTTTTCTAGAATCATGACTGTAAATGTGTATCCAGCCTACGACAACCGACTTTTTGGACACCCTGTATTCATCCTAAATACGACGTTTACGTTGTTCATACATGTATATAGTGAAACAGAAGACAGGTTCACAAGCAAAGGATCGAGTACACATTTTTGGGTTTATTTTAAACCATAAAACAGAGGCTCGTTTTGAATAGATATATAAAACATATGTACGATTTTGTGTAAAATATATGTACATAACCTACCAGGTTAACAAGTTTTTTGTTTGTTTTTTTAGATAAGACTTATCAGCAAAAAATATGTTTATTTTTAAATATTTAAAAATCATAGATGAGCAGTTAGTCGCCCATTGAATTAAACAAAGAGCAAAAAAAAAAAATTACACTTAGACCTCTTTCATTCAGAGGAACTAACGTTATACAAATATTTTTAATACAGGGTGGTAAAGTAATGGTTCTCATACGTGCAAGTTTGTTGTATAAAAATTAAACTAAGAAAATAAAATGCCAAGATGTCTGAATGAAAAATACTAGGTTGTCAAGAAATTAATGTCGCGTTTTGGAACATTTCATTAACCACTCCCCAAAAGCATGGCCAGGTGGTTAGGGAGCTCGACTCGCAATCTGCGGGTCGCGGGTTCGAATCCCAGTCCCACCAAACATGCTCGCCCTTTCAGCCGTGGGGACGTTATAATGTGACGGTCAATCCCACTATTCGTTGGTAAAAGAGTAGCCCAAGAGTTGGCGGTGGGTGGTGATGACTAGCTGCCTTTCCTCTGGTCTTACACTGCTAAATTAGGGACGGCTAGCGCAGATAGCCCTCGTGTAGCTTTGCGCGAAATTCAAAACAAACAAACAAACAAACTCCCAAAAAAGTACAATAAAAAAACGAAATGTTTTGAACGTTCGTAAGTGGTCA